AGACGGGGTTTCACCATGTTAGCCAGGATAGTCTCGATCTCCTGACCTCGTGATCCACCCGCCTCGGCCTCCCAAAGTGCTGGGATTACAGGCTTCAGCCACCGCGCCCAGCCGTCTGTCTGACTTCTTAAGTTGATAATGCTTTAAACAAGGCTTAGTTGGTTAATCTTTTTCACCTCTGTTATTACTCAAAGGTTGTATTGTATCTAGGAATTTTTGAAGTTGATATTTGGCATTTGTCATTAGACTACCAGTCCATAATGTTATGATGATCCTATAAATTAGACTACAGGATATTATTATATGATGTTATTGTAATTTGGGAGCATAGGGAATAATTCATGACAATGACTACTGAATGTGTATTTGGTCTCTAGCCTGATGAAAAAGCTCCTGAGAAAAGGGAAGATATTTGGTACTTTCATTCTGATTACTTGTTACCTGAAATCTTAACATTTCAGCAAGACTAAGTAGAATTATATTCAATTTTTATATGATTACATTTTTCATTGGGCAGTGAAAATGAGAACACATCATCCTTTCACACTGTACTGGCTAATTATTTCCATTGTGAAATAGCCCCAAGTATATTATTAACCTTCTTGGCAGCTGAAGTTTCTGATGCCTGAAATGTGTATCTACTGAATGGTGTTAGTTATGATCAGGCCAGTATTGATAGCATAGTTATAATATTTCTATGTATAATATGATCAGGCCAATATTGATAGTATAGTTATTTCTATGTATATTTCCAATATTATTCTTTTAACTTATTAAAATAGGGAAGCTGTATGAGATGTTAGTTAAAAGCACAAGCCATTGAGTACACAAATCTGGATTTGAGTCTACTCCCCTACCTACTCCCTTGGTCAAGTCATTTAATTTCTCTGAGTTTATGTTTCTGTATCAGTAAAATGGATGCAGTAGTAATCCCTACTATAGGGTTGTCATGGTTATTGGATTTTGTTTATTTATTTTTTGAGACAGAGTCTTGCTCTTGACACCCAGGCTGGAGCGCAATGGCACGATCTCAGCTCACTGCCACCTCCAGCTTCAGGGTTCAAGCGATTCCCCTGCCTTAGCCTCCCGAGTAACTGGGATTATAGGTGCTCGCCACCACGCCTGGCTAATTTTTGTATTTTTAGTAGAGACGGGGTTTCACCATGTTGGCCAGGCTGGTCTTGAACTCCTGACCTCAGGTTATCCGCCTGTCTCGGCCTCTCAA